TAATGGGACACAGAGAGCCAAAGGCAAAAAACTATTTGCAGAGTGTGCAAAGCCCTGTTGTTACTTTGCATGCAAAGCTCTGTTGTTATTTTGCAGGAGAGAGATTAGAAACATTAAAAGTGAAGTTGTGATTTTTTTCCCTGCTGCGTTTTTGTATATATGTATTATTTTCTTTTTCTGTGCAAACAGAAGGAGTTTTGAGTCTGGGACAGGCTATTAAATAGCTCTAGAGGATTACCACAAGGTGGAAATGCTCAGAAGTGCCTCTGTGGAACAGGGGATGGAGTAAGGTGACCCCATTCATGCAGTAGAGGAGAACACCACCTGTAGTAACTGAGCACTTCCATGGAGCAGCTGGAGTCCCATTAACAGTTAAAGGTCCTGATTCAGCTCAAATGCTTGCGACACTTTTGGCATGTGCCAACTCTTTTGCTGGATATGCTTGAAGGACAAGCTCAGAAAAGAGTAGCTGGGACATGAAATCCACTTTTCCTCATTTGGAGCCCTGAGGATCTAACAGTACTCATGGGGGTTTAAAGGAAGTAACTCAGGCATTGGGGAGCTAGAGGAAAGCAGAAGTCAGAGCAGATCACAGCCCACACCAGTCTTCACAGTCTCCTGACTCCTCAATATTTACATGAAACCAATTTAGACTTTCTCAGACATTAGCAAAGCAAGTGTAAATAATGTGAATGGCTGTGAGAGTGAAGTGGATCACACTTGGGCATCCCCTCTGAATTGGAAGTTGGAAGTTTAAGTTACCATACACATAGGCAGTCAGTGTAAGTGAAGCAAACCTTATTTGCTCAGACTTTTCCCTCTCCCTCTGTTAAGAACAAGCTAAACACTAGGGCACTTTTTGCTCAGAGCTGAAGAAGAGCCACTCTTGTCACCTCTCACACTCGGGAGAGGTCCCAGTCCCACGCTTGCCTCTGTGCCCTGCCCTTTTTTCCCTCCTCCCTAAGCTCAGTCCTGCTGTGAAGTGCTCCTCTCCTGCCATCCTTCTTGTGTGTGAACTGCTGTCCTAGGGGGTTGTTATATTTTAGGCTCTTGCAGGAAGGGAGCTTGCCTTGTGATGTATACTGTGAAGTGCTGTATGTGCTGGCAGCCCCGTATAAATATCACTGTCAGCTTGCTGGTATGTTGGTGGAGGGAAGTACTTACAGCAGTTTTCTTTACGGATAGCAGAGAGGGCAGGAGGAACGGTGGATCTGCTCCTAAACTCAAGCGCTGTCTCTTGCAGAAGATAAAAGCGAGATAAAACCTTGCAGCCTCTCACAGGTGTCATACACGTGTTTCCTGCTGCTTGGTGGGTGACACGATGGTAAACAGAGATGCTCTCTTCTCCCAGACAGCTGATTTCGCTTTTCTTTTGATTTCTCAGTGGCCCTGCACAGCCCGGCTTGCCTGAGCTCAGCACTAACAGGTGCTGGGAGACTTTCTCCCTCCCACTCATGCTTTCAGGCTCTTAGATGTTTCTCACTTCTCCTGAGCAGATTTTGGCCAACATCTCTGTCTCAGATGTGCTGATTCCAGGTGATTCCTCAGCCTATTATTTTGCTCCACTTATGCCAGATTACTCTGAATAAATCACCTCTACCAGGCAGAGGTGAACCCACAGAGCGCTTTTCAGAGAAGTGTTTCTATTAGAAATTTCAGAAAGTGCTGCCAATGTCATTTCCAAAAAAGGTTAATTTATTATTGAGAGACTTTGATTGTCTGTTCCTTTATAACGCCTTGCATTGTAATTCAGAGGAATGGGATATAAAAATGTTATTAAAAGCTGAAAACTTTTCTAGAATAACCTTATTTCCCTCCGCCTGAATTGCCTGTATTACGTGGAAGTATAAGCTCTGACAGCCATTACGATTCTGTATTCTCCCTGGGTTCACGTGCGACGACATGGAACAGGCACAGATTTTGACACCACCTAACTCTGTAGCGATGATGGTTCTGCGTCCTTTTAGAAAACAGGCTGAACTGTCATCTCCTGCCCTTAAAATCAGTGCTAATGTTCCCGAGTGGATTTACTTACAGCTACGCCGAATTCCAAAACAGTATGATGGACAGCCTCACAATTTATGGAATTAAATGTGCTATCAGATGGGGAATAGAGATGCTTTTTTTTTTCTTTCAATTTTTCTCCAGTTTTCACTAAAATAATGGAAGGCCGAATCATTCCAGACAAGCACTGCACAGTCATTTCACTTGATATTGTCATACGGAGCCTGCGATGATTTTACTGGCTCAGAAAGGTTTGGTTTATTGGGACATAGCAAATAAACTTGGAAAATCAGCATCCTTACCATTCAACACTTTCGTGCTGTCATAAAAGCTACAGCCCTTGACTCAGGTGAGTCCTTATGCCCAAGGGAGGAAAGACTGAACGGTTTGGCCTTCTGCACTCATCATCATGATCACCATTATCAGTTTTGCACTTTCTACCATTACCCGTGATTATTAATTAATGCTTAATGCATTTTCCCAGCAGTTCTATCACCCTCGCAGCATCTCTGGGGAAATGTCACTCTTGCCGGTTGTACACGGGGAGCAGCTGAAGCATGAGCTTGGGCTGGGTCAGGATTTGCACATCAATCAGAATCCAGGAGTTCCAGGCTGCTGCTTCTCTGCTCACATCACCGGGTCCTACTTCTCCCTGCATCCCTGCTACACTTTCCAAACACCCTCTCACTGTAAGCACCGTGTCCGTGCAATAATAAAGGGAGATTTTTCTGCGTGCTCCTGCCACACAAATCACATAAAATGGCAACTTGTCTCTGATGCAGCTTCCTCACCCCACACAGATCTAAGGGCTCGCGTTGTGTGTGACTTGATTTATTTGGTTGGCGCTGCCATTTTACGCCCTGCGTCATAAACACCGTGTCAGCTACATCCTCTTTACCCTGGCACCAGCAAAAATTGTAACACCACAGTACTTCAGTATGGGTAGACTTGAAATGTAGCAACCCTGCCTTGCCAGACCTCATGAATACACCAGAAGGGCTCTGAAGCAACGCAATGCATTTACACAGAACACCTGCCCTGATTTTCTTTAAACAAGCTCTTGAAACCTAGACTAAGGAGAAAGGTACTTACCCATTAAGGATATTGCAATTTATAGTACTTTTAAAAATGCTGCATTTATCTGGCCAAATTCAAGTCAGGAAGCCACATCTTCCTTAAGTATATTTTTTACCTATTTCAGAATGAGGGGGTTGTACCTAACCAGCTTCTCTTGTACACTAAAGCTTTGTGCACAGCTGCCAGTGGGCAAAGTGGCTCCCAGGCATGGGGCAAAGCTCTATTTTTCTGTACAGCAAAAGAAAACTTCCTTGTACTGATGACAGAATGATTCGAGGTCAACAGGGAATGTATCATGGCCTGTTCTGCTTCTCACGTGGCCACAAAGGTACAGCAGAGGGTAAACAAGAAAATATTGCCTTAAAGACAAGCTGACACGTTCCTCACCCACATGGCTCAAAGACAGGTTCTGAATGTTTTACCCTTTTTTTTTTTTTCTATGTTAGTGCAATGAGGCAGGAAGAAAAGTCTGGCTAGAACCTCATTTAGCATCACTTCGAAAACACGAGCAACTAGTGACTGTGCTTTAAAAATGTTTTCTTCTCCGAGAGCCTTACTGATTTCTTGTGCTGGGAAATTTTAAACAGGAGGAATTCCTAGAGCAGGAAAATAAAGTCATGCACAGAAGGATATCTAGAGGCTGTTCTGGGCAGAAGGTGGTCAGTGTAAGGAAAGGCTCAAATCCCATCACTGCAACAGCAAACTAAATGAAAGGAGATCTGCATTCTACAGAGCCAGGCTTCAGTTTCATAAGCTAACGTGCAACTGTTTCTGGTGTTGCTTAACTGTGAACAGCATCGAACACGTCAAGTCCCAGGTTTTAAATTTAACACGGAGTATATTACAGCAGTGTTTCCACTTCTGCATTGGACAAACTTTCTCACTAAAAGTGAATATTGGGATCTTAATGACTGCTTTAGTAAGACCTAAACTTTTAATTAACCTGCCAAGACAAATCACAGCCCATAGCTCTTAGGTAACTATTGCAGACAGCTGAGACTCAACACCAATGCCTCTTCTGGGAGAGGGATTAACGGCAGCTTTGGACCGAGTCTGCTTTTTTCAGCAAAGAAAAAAAAAAATTCCATTAAGCAATTACGGTGGCGAGCAGAAAGCTGAGTGCTAGTTTTATGGAGCGATCTTTAAATTACAACCAAACGAATCTGGGGATATGAAAAGGTTCTGCGGGTCAGTAAATTTAAAATTAAACATTATTGAGTCAGAAAGAGATTCTGGTATTTACAGAGGGAAGTAAGAATGCCCAGTGTGCCGGGCTGTCAAGCAGTCCGCAGGCAGCATCCTTTCCTCCTTGGACAGCAACTAATCAGTGCCTGCGTGCTGAACTGGCAGGGCACTTTACTGCCAGAGAAACTGAGAAACCTGTTAATTTGTACTTCTTAAGAAATCACAGCTTCTTTCTGTTAGCAAGGAGAAATAGGGATGCCTGTTATCGTGGTTCCTACTACTAAGCCTTGCAGCGCTCTTTGGTGGTTTTAACCCCAGCGCTCTGCCTGAACTCCTGCTGCAGTAATTTTGACAGTGCTCAAAGGCAGGACTGTCACACAAAACTGTTGCATGGTGTTGCTCTGTGCTCTTCAATCATTCCTATACCTCTGCTCCAGGAAGGGAAAAAAAAGAAACTAAATAAAAATGAGATCAAAGGCAAAACGAAGCAGGGAATTTCAAGCCTGTAATCCAACTTTGGCACTAGGTAGAATCTCCTTCTGGATATAGTTATTTAAAAGGCATACAAAATACTTACGGGGTAGTTAGGGCCTAACAGCATTCAGCCTGTTGCTAAACACATCCTCTACAAGCCTTCTCTCCCCAGCCACACAAAGGTACTGTGCAATTTGAGTATGCGCATTAATACCTGGCCTCAAGGCAGCCAGCTGAGGAATAAAACAGGAAATCCTTACCAATAGCAGTCGTAAGAAAAGAAACCACTTCCGACTCCTTGCCATCATTGTAGAAGGCTAAATGCCATATGCCTGAATCCAAATACTGGATAAACCCCGTCTCGTGGCTGGACAAGGGCACAAAGGCTCTGTGCTGCCGCTGAGGTCCTTCTAGGCTTCTTGCCTCCTGCGTTAGCAGGCGTCTTCCATCAAGGAGCTCGACAAAGTCAAACTGAAAAATAAAAAAGAGTGATGGCTGGGTGAATTTCGGGCTGAGGAAGGTTTGTTTTATGGAGGAGACAGACATATTTTGCTTTGAGTATTAGAAATGTACATACATAGATTTTTCATAAACAGGTTTTCTCTGTTGGTGTCTATCCAACTCAAGTATGTTCCTGGAAAACATGCAAGTAACTATTTTGGAAATAGCAAGTATATGAACGTAGTTCTCTGTAATTACATGGGCCAAGAAACCATCTTTATTTAGAAAGTGATTTGGGGCACGCTGACCTTACTGACATGCTTTCTCTAGAGACATAGGCAGGGAAAGCTGAGGTCCAGGGAACGTGGCTAAATTGCACTGTGAGTGTAATGATAAAGAGATGCTACTCAGAAGCTTTTTTGTTATTTTCTTTGTGTCTTGGCTAACAAGGAAAATAGGCAGAAAAAAAAATTAACTATCCTAACTGGATAGACTGTTTGCCAGAATTGTTTATGATCATCAAGAGAAAGATAAGTGGTATTTGTAAGTAAATTCTGGTGTAGGTGTTGCAGAAGTATTTTCCTTAGCCAGTAAGGATTTTTTTTTAAAGCAATAGCAGAAGTGGTTAAAGGATCGTAGAAGATGGAAAACAGATAAGCTAATGTATAAAAGGCCCATTTACGAGCTGGCTTCTAGAAATATTCTTCAAAAGAACTTTTTTTCCCCTGGGTGACTTTAGGTGAACAATTGCTTTGATTTTGCTATTAGCATTACAACTACCTTTTGTTCCCTGTTTAAATAACTCCACCGACTTTCTGCAATAATTGTATTTTGTCTGATAATATATTAATGGGACAAGTCAGATACAAGTCTAGCAGACATCACAGATGTGAAGTGAGCCTTATCTAACCCGACTCTTATCTTGTGTTCAGGTGAACAGAACATTTTGTGAGCAGAACGAAACAGCTGGGGCACAGCCGTGCTTCTCTGTGCCCTGACTTTCCTTGGGTTTCCCTCTCTCACCCAGTCAGTCAAATAAGCTTGTTGGTTTTGGTAGGAGCGAGAAAAACAGGGAAAAACACCACCACTTATTTTTGTATAGCAGCAAATGTTGCTGCTCTAAATGGTTGCAACAAATTTGGGCTCCTTTTGCCTTTACTGTATCAAAATGTGAGTGCTTCTGTTAAATTATTACGTTGGCTGGTATGCTCTTCAAAGTCCACCAAAATACGGAGTTGTTGACATTTCCTCTCCTCTTGCAGCTATTGCTAAGTTGAAAATAAATATTTATTTCCAAATTTATTTATTTATTTAGAAATAAACTATATATGGCCTACCTTGTACTCAAAATGACAAAGTTTGTCCCTAGAGTACTCCTCAATATTGCATTTTAATTATTTATTTGAACTCTGTTTTGAATTTGCTTTATTCATTTTTCTTATTTTAGCATGTAGATCATTCAGATATGATGCTGCAGTGTCATCTGAGAAAGCAAAAGCCAGGACGCCTTCGAAGGGCATTCCTTTGGCTGTCTACGAAGACAGAAGCAGAGTTGTTGTTTTGAGATAATGTGATGCAAATACAAAATATAAAGCCTACAGGTATGTAATTGAAAAAGCATATTTGTTTTAGAAAAATAAGACACTCTAGTGGTTTTAAGTTTCAGAGGACAGAAGCGTGAGGTTGTTCTGAACAGCACTGTGTGAGCCAGACATTTGCAGCCATTCTGAGGATGCCCTGAGGGCATTTATTGCTTGCTACATATTAGGTTTAGATGCTTAAAACTTAGTGGGATGAAAACAATATCAAGGCATCTAGCTACAGCGAGCTGCTGTTGTTACAGTCCAATCCAGGTTATGCTTACCGGGGGCTTCCTGCCAAATGTAAAAGTTTATTTTTATAAATATTTGCAAGATAGGTGTTGGTGCCTTTGCAAAGTTACTAGGTTACTAACTGTAAATATGATTCAATCCGTAAATGCATTACGTTTTATTACATTTGAATAAATTTATAGATTTTTAATACACAATTAGAATTAATGCAAGCAAGAAAATTGTAGACAGAATACCTCTTTAATAAATTCAAATTGTATAAATTAAAAATGCCTCCCAAAGCTGTGATGGTCAATCCCTAAAATCTAGTATGTAAAAAATTTGGCCTAGGTTAAAGAGTTTAAAAATGATTTGATATGGGAAGATTAAATTTAATAGACCATAAGAAAATTGTTTAACCTTTATTATAACTTGTTGAGAAGAATTAGAAGTGCCTTTTGTTACCAGTAAATTATTTTTGGCTTCTACAAGCTCTATTTTTAACAGTACAGAAATCTGAAGTTTTCACTTTCTTCTGATTATTAATATCCACGGTTGCTGGCAACCTTCAGTAGTAGATAGGTGATCACAGACAAAGTTTCCCAAAGGCAATCTGGAATAGTTTGTTGTTTTAGCAGAGAAAATTATAACTTTTACGATTTTACCAATTTCAGGTAGCAACTCAAAGACCCTGAAAGAGAATAGTTTGTCCATAGGTACATGCTACAGAAAATTGATTATCTAACCAGAAGAAATATCTAATTGTCTACTACAGAAGAAAATTTGATTGTCAGTTCAAATTTTATTACTGCCATCAACCAGATAGGCTGGGAAAAAAATCAACCCTTCCAAGGAGGAGATTATCACTGCTGTAAGCCTGCGCTCTGCCAAAGTCTTGTTTGTGAAATTCATTATAAAATATGGAAATATAAAACTCACTGGGTAGATTTACAGGGTGCAGCAGATACTCTGGATCATGCAAGAGAAAAAATGAGATTTGTGTAATATGTTTTAACTACGAGATACAATGTTAACACAAAAAGCAGGTTACCTCTTTAATGACTCCTAAGGCTAATAAATTATGGTGAGATGAAGTGCTAAGGATTAAACTTCATATAAAAAGATATAAAAGGAAAACACTGTTTTAATTGACAGCAGGTTTGAAAAATATTAGGAAAAGGGATCATTTCAAAACTGAATTAACTAGTAATATATCAATATTGTTCCAGTATCTGCAGATTCATTGTTATTTCTTCATAATGGTGGGATTGGGGTTCTGTTTCTACTACTCTTATTTTTTGGATTAAAATGTCCCTCTGGTAATTTTTGGTAATGTTTTGGTCCAGATGCAGATTTTTTATATACGTGGCAGCTCTTGATTTGTGGCTATACACACTTACAAGCAGCACTTACAAGGTCTTGGTACAAGTGCATTGCCTCCTCCAGCACGTAATATTGACAAACATGTGGCACATCCCACATTCAATGTAGCAGTAAAGAAGTCAGTGTAGGCTTCTTAATTGCTTAAAACATTAGTAATTAACACATTTACTATGGCTGGGTGAAGTGCCCTGCTCCATTTAAGCATTTTGCTTTAAATTCAACAGACTTTACTTGAGATTTATGTGTTAAATTTCATAATTGTTCTTTAAACAATTGAAACTATTCATGTAATAAGTTCTGTTTCATAATGGATATTAATAATCATTACAAACAAGGAAAGCCAAAGTAATACAGACTTCTGATCTACAGTTAGTATTATTGTTGTGAGCATGACCTTATTATTTTAATAAAACAGGAGGTTTAAATTCTAAATGTCTCAATCTCCCCTTAAAGAGAGACTGATTAAAAATGGGTAATAACAGCACTATTGTGTCACTGAATTTATGACCTGCTGATCCTACTGAAATATTTTAATTCTGCAGAAAGGCAGGCAGAGAAAGCGTAGATTTATGACACCTCTTTGACATAAATAAGTTGCAGGTGTGTTAATATGTGGAAAATACCATATTACCCAGAAAGGTTGTCATAAACATATTTGTTTGCTTAGAAAGAAAATAAAGACAGGGTATTTCTATAAATCTTAAATTGCTGTGTTGGTTGCTGGACTTTTCTGTTAGTACTGGAGGAGAAGGGTAAGTTAGAACATTAACAGAAACCTGGTAATACTTTGCTAACTTGCTGATGCAAGTGGGAGCAAGATGTTTTGCACTGCCAAACAGAGTTACGCCCTAATGCATTAATCAATCTGGCTAAGAGCAGCTTACGAACTGAGATGGAAAGTAGAGAAACTAATGTACAAAATCCTTATGTAAGGGGATGGTTATTTGGAGCTTTCCCCAGAAAGTGACTCCTCAACGCAGCTTTTCCCCAGGTGTGTTAAGGAAAGCAACTGCTTTCATTTTAGCCCTACGGATTAATAACCATATCTTGATTCCTGCTGAAGTAAGAGTGGCTTTCTGTAAGGACTTGATTTTGCTTGGTTATACACCAGTTACTGTGCCCTGACCAACCTCAGCCTAATCTGACAGCCAACACGCATAATGTGAAGAGTTGGCTCAAGGCATTTCAGCACAGCAGGCAAAAGTGAATCGTGCTCCCATGAGGGTGAGAAACTGGGGTCGTGCAGCTCTTACCATGGGAGGGGAGAGGCTGAAAGAGGGGCGCATGGCATGAAAGATGGGGGAAGAAGGATGAAAAAAATATTTTTGATGTAGTTTTTGTGAGGTTGCTGTTGCAAGGGGCACTGGATGGAGTGGGTGGTGGTTTATGGTGCTGTGCAGATCCCCTCACACAACCCTTTCTGCCCCCTGGCAGCTTGCTGCCTTAGGCAACTGCCTGCTTTGCCTGAGCCTACAGCCCATGGGGTTAATGCGTGTGACAATCTGGTAACTCTCACTTGTTTATCTTTCTCTGGATTTATCACCTTTAACGTCTTGCAAGCACGCAGCAGATTCCTGAGAGAAACAGCTGGAATAAAAACAGCCATGAGAACAAAAGTTATAAGACAAGCGTTGCTTCATTGAAATGTGGTTCCATTACCTGTGTATGTGATGGTGGAAGGCCTTTTCTGCCATAGATGCCAACCAGAGCGGCCTTTCCTAAGGACACATTGAATTTCAGATGCACTGGGTGGTCGATGAACACCTGAGATCTCCAAAAGATACCAGGAGGGATCTTCTGTGTGGCTCGCCTGCCAACATCGATTTCTCCAGAGTCTATAAAACTGTCGTCTGGAAAGAAACTACTGGGCTTTCCTGCCAAAACACAGGAACAAAAATCTCGGATTAGCCTTAGATCCTAGAAGTAATCCAACCGTACTGGTATCTCTGACACTGATCTTGAGAAACAGACTATTAGTGTCCTGAGGTCTTCAGAGTGCTTTGTGTGGCCAATCCTTACGATATGAGAGGAAAACTGGCAGGGTTATTCTTGGCTTCAGTAACTGTTTTGTTTGAAAACAGGAATACGGGAAGAGCAACCTGGAGAAAAATGACCCTTTGTTCAAAGCATAACATTAGAGCTTGTGTAATTACATTACATAAAAATAAATCGTCTTGCATTATAACACAAATGAAAATGAGTTCACTGATGGAGAAGAGACATCATTACATTAGCAGAGAGAAGGGAAGTAACAGTGAGGTAGGCACGTGTCACAGAATGGGATGGCAGTGTGGAGAAGAGCAGCATGAAGGGATGCCTGAGAGGGGAAAGGAAAATGTTTCTCTGTTAAATTAATGCTGGAAAGCAGTATCCATATTTCAAATTTGTTCATCAGTCCAGAAAAGGCTAAAGCTAAAAAGGACTGAGTAAAAAGATGATGGAAATCATACCCTGCACGTCAGTAATATCTACTAAGAAACTTGATAGGTTTTAATTAGGTTTCAATACAATCTGTGAAGTGTGTTAGGATTATCCATCTTCCTTTAGCAGCCAAACAAATGGAGGCATCTGTTTTCTGAAGCAACCACCAGACTGGGGAGCCTGAGCATGTGGATGGCAATCAGCACTCGTCGTAACATCTGAGGGAGTCAGCAGGGAGCTCAGCATCCCTGGAAAACAAGGCTGAGGAACTCCAGGTTAGGCACCCACACACTCACAGTTCTCAGAATTGGTGGCTGCTTCGAGAAAACCTCAACCCCACGGAAGCCCAGGGAGTATGGACAAAATGCACACTGAAATCCCCAAATGCTGTCTGGCCTTTGCCATAACCAGTGGCCACGCAGCTTCACCTGCAGTGCAGAAAGAAGACGACAGCAACTGCTTAACAAACAGCCTTTAAGGACACTTGTACTTGAAGAAATTAAAAAAAAAAAGAAAAAGATTTTGGCTTTAGTAAGGAGAACATCATATCACCATCAAGGTCGAATTATTAAATTTAGAAATCCAAATCGATTTGTTATCTCGGTGCCATTACACCTCAGTACTCTGTGTTTCACAGATCAAACAATTCTGATAAAATGAGAAGAAAACTTTCAGGAACATGCAGTATTTTGCAGGAAAATCAAATTATGAGAATTTTTCTTCCAGAACCTACATGTGGGAAACAGGATATATGAAATAAAAGTATCTTTTTCTACTTAAAATGAGTTAAAGTAAAATAGTCTTAGAATTTACTTGCCATATTGAAAAGGTGATTGGTATAACAACCTCTCATTTTACTGTTTTAACATTTCCTTTAAAAATTAAACTTCTCCATATGTCATCCCAATGCAAACTCTCCAGGAGAGACAGAAGTAAACTGTTAGCTGTCTCTCCAAAATCCAGCTATAAATTATATGCATATTGACCATTAACAAGAGGAGTATCTGACGACATTTCTTTGTAGACAGGAGATCTTTCCAATTTTCTATTGTATAAAACATTTTAGAAGAACTTTTGGTCCAAATAAGGCTAATCCCTGATTAGCTAATTCAAGTTTACAACTGCTGATGTACATTGTTGGAGTGGGGCTTGATGGCATGTTTCATTTCTGTGCTGCCTTGTGGCTGAAGTTTTATGCATACCAGCACAGTCTCGAAAACAGTGGATGCCTGTTCATAGGAAAAAGCTACTGGTTATTTTATAAGACTCTCATTTATCTTTGTTCATCAAATTCAAATAAATACGAGGGGGAAATCTGCTGACTTTTTATCCTTTTTTAGTCAAAGTGTATATTAATAGAGATAATCAGAAGCAGCTTAGGTAAATGGACATTGTTACCGAATTGTTTGTGCTAAAAGAGTACAGCTGGACAATGGAAATCAGCTAGCTTGATTCCAAAGGGGATTGCTTTATAAAAAGGATTGTTAATATTTATTTGGCATCCTAAAAATTACTTTTCGCACTGTTGGGATTAAAGGAAACGGTTCCCATGTCTTCATGCAAAGTTTCTTATGCCATTCTTGTAGGGTGAAAAGATTCAGGTTTCTATTAAAAAGACCTAAAGACGTCACCTGTTGGGGCTCAGATGAAGGATTTATTTTTCTGATTGCTACCGACACGTTTTATAGATTCATAGAAATTCAGATGAAAATCTAAAGTATTTGATATGCGCCCTGATTGTTCATTAATAAAGACTGCACAGCGGAGTGAATCGGGGGAGGTGAGAATTTAATATGATGGATGGTGCTGTGCACGAGAGAGCCTGGAGAAATTGAGCACAGTGTGTATTCTGCCCGTACAGGCAGCAATTGCTCAAGCAAGAAAAACACTTGTGTGATTGAAAAAGACAATTTCACATAAATAATTGTTTGTACATGCAATTACAAAGCTTCTATCTCCTCTTGGTGGGCTGTTGTAAGGCTGAAAAGGCGACGTGAGCCGGACTGTGCTGTGCAGCCAGCAGCTGGAGGTACCCTGATGCAGAACGGCTCGCCACCAGGCTGAAGTCAATCCCTGCTTTGCCAGGTTTAACCTACAGTAGGATCAGGCCCTACAAATTGGATTCTTCATAAAGAAAGTACAATAAGAAAGCAATTTCAGCTTCTAATCAGAAATTAGGTTTTAATCAGAATATTTGACTACTTAAAATTAACTTCAGGTCTGAATCCTTAATTGGGCTGTCAATTACTTTGCTCTTTCCATGCATTACCTTGAACTTTTTAGTTGCCGTAGCAACTCTTCCTAATTTATTTGGTTATCAAAATGAACCATTTCGTTTCGGCCCCTGCTGAATCTGCTGGTATTTTCGATACCAAGGTACCCTGACTCATCAAAACACTTAAGAACACACTCGTATTCCTCTGACTTCAATCACAGTTAACTACACGCTTAAATGTAAGCATGTGATTAAGTGCTTTGCTAAACAGGGATGGGCTTAAACACCCGTAAATGCTGTGCTAGAGCAAAGCCACAGATGAGAACTGGCAAGGTGTTGGTAATGATTCATTCTGATCAGCTGTATGACTATTCCAGACCGTTTCAGTGTGATCAGGAGCACTTTCAAATATGGTTTCATCTATTTTTTTAAAAATAGATTCCAATCACATTAATTCTGGTTGAGAACAGCAGCCACGCAACACTGCTAGCCCAGAACTGGTTGCACAGTTGCTCGATGGGGAAAGAGCTGCATTGTAAGGCTGGATGTCATTAGTCCTGCAAGAAACATCTTGTCCTGGTGTGGTTTTCCTTAGTCAGGACAAGATATTCTCCTCTAAACCTACGGATTCCCAAACATCTGTGTCAAGCACAAACTTGAGGGGGCTTCTGATGAAACTCCTAGGGTAATTTCCAGATTTCTTTTTTTAAGCAGAGCGTTTTGGCAGCAATCAAAACTTCAATTGACAGCACTAAGCATGGCTGAAAAAGAAATCAAGTGGAGGTCTTTGATTTGGATGGCAGTCTTAGATAAATACTTTCGTTCGTTTTCATTTTGACTTTTAAAAGGAAGTGGACAGATCAAAACTACATGTTCCAAAACCAAAACATATGGCAAGTTAGAGGGGGAAAAAAAAAGGATCTGTCTCAAGTATTTTTGAACACAACATATGATATCTGCAGCTTGCTCCCCTGTCTAGTCAGGTTTGCTGAGAATAACTCTCTTGGTTGATTTTTCCTTGCAGAACGTTGATGTCAGCCGTCAGTTGCTAGTAAATACACTGTTTTAGGGAACACACATAATTAGGGCTTTTATTTGGACTGATAAAGGCAGATAAGCTCTTAAAGAAAAAAAAAAAAAGACTAGAATTAATTTAAATTAAATAGATAAACATAAGCTCTCTGCCAAAGTCTAGGGAACTTTGGAAACTTTTGAATTCAATGAGTTGCCAGAACAGTAGCAAATCTCTGACTCCAAAACCTTCTTCCCCCAAAATAAATACCAAAAAAAAGCCAAAGACTTAAATTTTATGGGAATCTGTTAGCCTTCTATAAAGCAGCTCAGCACACAAACAAAACAGCTTTCCGAGCATTTGAATTGCAGAACAGCTTTCTGAATCTTTCAGCTCCTCATTCCTCCAAGTTTTGGGAGGGATAAAACACCTGCCCTTGCAGGGTTTACGGGTAATTTTGGCAGTGCTGCTTCCATACAGAGCACAGGAAGATGTCAAGCTGCTGGACTGACAAACCATCAGCTGCTTCCAATTTCAGTTAAATCCGCGAGCTGCCAGCACCACGACACTTTGAGGAGAGCAGGACTTCCATCTGGCCAGCTTAGCAAAGAGATGTCCAGCCAGGGAATGCCAGTACCCACTGGTTCTTTGGTCCTCAAAACATTTGGCACATGGTGGCAATGAATAGGCAAAACCAAATGTTTCTGTTGGATCCACTGCTCCAGGAGTCTTTTAATTTTCAAGACGTTTTGTCTCCATGAAAATAGGCGTTTGAGGCAGGGTTTTCATGATGGACATCTGTAGCCTTAGAGATAGGGTGCAGAGTTCCACCTTGAGAATGCTTGAGATGTGTTGTGGGGATTGTACACACTTTTATCGCATCAGTGAATATCAGAAGGGTATGAAACTCAGACACATAGGGAAACAAGACTGACGACGACTAGTTCTAGACGTGAAAGACTGGAGAAAGCACCTGACAATGGCAGCATTGAGGGTAATGGAACATGAGATTGGGTGGCTGGAGTTCAGAGGCAGACAGAAGACTCACGACATGGACACACACCAACCGTACCTTCACTGGTTCCTTTGCCTTTCCTGTCAGGTAACTCTAACCCTGTGCCCCCCGAAGGATATAAGGAGACGTCCGTTGGCACTGGCCAACTGCTGGCCGTGTCTTCCGTGATTTCATACATCTGCCCTTCCATCGGCTGCAGGTGCCAGTTTAGGCCAAACAGGTGCATGGCTGTGGTGAGCAATGAGAAAAGTCATCTTTTTCTGCCTGGGAGAGATTCAGAACTTGTAGCAGGGGAACTTCCTAAACCCTCAGTCCACTGGCCTATTGGTGGTCATTGTTTTAGGGCAAAAATAGGTTTTGTGTGGTTAGCCAGCCCCTACTGATTCTACCGTGCCGATTCCTTAAGTCTTTACCCCCACTAAGCCTTTACCCCCATTTTAACTAGTTTTGGATCACCTCTACCGATCCAGTGGAACCACACCTGATCCATTCTCACAGAGGGAATAACTGGGCACCATGTTTCAGAAAATTCCCAAAGCTGGGGTGACGATGTGGTGAACGTGAAAATACAAGGGGTATTATATATTTCTCAGCATACCAATAGATCCTAGGAAATTGCTCTTTGGTTTGCTTTGCTGTAGTCTATGCTTTGACTACACAATATGCTTTTTGTGTAGGTTATTTTTTTTCTTTTTAAACCAACAATTAAACACACAAGCCCCTCTGACAGTTTTTCCTGAGTAAGACCAAGAAAATCTTAAGACAATTTTAGATCAGTCTTGAGCAGATCCCTTTGTGCTCAGCACCAGGAATGCAACATGACCACAAGTGAGCACTCCTCAGTACAATTTGGCTTCCCCTACCCAGACCAAAGATACATCCTGGAGGTTTGAACACCAGGAGCACCGTCTACATTTGTGTGACACCAGGACATAGCTCTCTCTAGGTTTCTTGGCCACACAAAGTCATCCAGTGTGCCCATGAATCTATCTCAAGCCATTACATAAAGACAGGTGAAGTTAAGGAACAAGACAGAATACTTAAAAAGCAAACACATGTATGTGGGGTATGGAAAATATTATGCTTACACAACTAATGCTTGCCCCTTGAAAATAGAAAGCAAAACAACGTGGCTTTCCGTATCAGTTCTTCCTTCCCCAACATAAACATTTCATATTCAATCAGGATCCAGTTTAGCTCCAGGCTCTCTGCAGCTAAATGATCTGATATTTGCTACACTTGGAATGACATTTCTTTTCTAAGGGAGTGCCTTGATATTTTACTCTACAATTTCTCCAAGAAAGTGTGCAGTGGCACTAGAATCACAGCCATTTAGCATAAACAAAAAGAGTCAAAAGCAGTGTGGAAATAAGAGCATTTCCATTTTATATAGCTCTCATTTTGTTCACAAAGATACATCTGAGCTTGGCAAACACTGTCAGGGACAAGTGGCTAGTTTATTTAAACCTGTGCATCAGGAACAATCTTTTCAAGATGATTGAAAAGTAATCTGAGTAGTTCTCCAAAAAATGGCATGTTTAGGCAATTTAGCAAAATCAGTGACTTTTTTCCACTTCAGTCTCAATTAGGTCATCTATCATTTACTAACATGAATAAACTTGTCTTTGCACTAACACAACATCACAAAACAAGGAGAGCAAACGTCTCGTTTTACCATGTAAACTGGGCCTGGGATTGTTAACAAAGTCTGGATCATTAGGAAAGAAAATACTCTCCTAAAACCCCCAAGCAGCAAGGGAAGTCTCCCAGGGAGCTGGCCACAGCCCAAATGTGTTTATCCAAGTACACGTACCCAGCAGGAATACTACCAGCACAACTGGTTGTGCACCCAGCACACTTCGGGCAGTGGCCAACATTTGGATCTGAAGGGAGAATATTTGGCAGAGATACAGTGCAAGGGAAGAGAAGAAATCAGACTAGGAGCAAGGAATTTGTATCAAGAGTTTGGCATTGCTACGTTTGCATAGTATTTTTGTTCTTATATGGCCCTCATCCTCACCAGGCCGCCTGGACACGTGTTCACAGCCTTTAACCTCATAAAACCTCATCAGGTGGGAATCTGTTACTTCTGCTTCACAGAAAGCAAAAAGAGAAGTATGTCGGATTAGAGGACTGACTCAGTTCACTTCTCTGGACTTTCAAAGTGTGTTAGTTCCCTTAGCTTACTCTGTGCTCATAGGTTCACGAGCCATACAGGTGTTGCATGCACTCCTCCTCCAGCAGCTTTTGCGTAAGCCCAGTACCAGATGCTGCCTGAACACGCCGTCCAGACTGGACCCCTGCAGGGACCAGAGTGTTCCCCAGATGCTGCAGAGCTCTTAGTGTGGGTTAACCACACGGGTGTTTGTAGTCAGAGGAGAATGAAACCTGTCTTCTTCACTCCTCCAAACCTAGGCAGTCCTTGACTGCAAGCAGTCCAGATGCCTCTGCTGACCTACGTGCTTAATTCCAACTCCATCTATCAGATACCTTCAGATTACAATGACCTACACAAGCTCATACAGGCATCGTTGGCTCAGGCATGAATTGAGCCATTGGCTTTTCCACAAGACCATTTGACATGCTCTGTCTTTTGGCTATCACAGCTTAAGTGCCTCCTGTCCTCAGTAGGAATTTGTTGCTTGTACATCTTTCTTTACTGCATGAAAATGAAGGTGAAGAAGTCAGCAGTGTTTTGGCTGCAGAGGGAAGGCTATGAGCATTTCCTCCAGGCATGCAAAAAGCATTAAAAACACTTGAGAGGAAATGTCTTAGGAAGAGAAAATCGTGCTTCAGTCAAAGGACAGCGCTCGCTGTCTGGAAGTGCTGTGACTTTTCTGCGTATTATCCATCTGCCTGAGCAAGTGAATCATGGTGCCAGGTCACCATTCATCCCTAAATGTTTGCAAAGTATCTTACAGCGTCCCAGTCTAGAAAATAGGACAGAATTACAGGTAACATAGCTGCTGCCTCTGTTATCACACACAGATAAAGGTATCTATGTTATCAGACAGGCCTGCATTAACATGTCAACTTTTGTCTTTGGTTAATAGATTTTTCTGAAGCAAAAAGCTTCTCATGTACCTCAATCCCAACATCACACACACGCCTTATGAGTTGTATGCACACCATGCATACAAAAGGGCAAAAATCTGAGAAACAGAGAGCTATTTGAACAGTATTTGCTTACTAAGTGGCTTTAAAAAAATCCAGAAAACAATGCAAAAGCTTACACTTCATGCTCCATTAAGACTTTCTAATTTGATGTTTCCAAACAATATAAAAACCTCTAAATATTCACAACCGTAAGACAAATAGCACATAATTTCTGCTGCAGGTGAGTAATAACCACAAAAGCCTTTCAGAAACTCGAACAAGAAGTCCAATTTGCTTTGGAAACACACCCTGGTGCTATGTGTGTTACTAGGAAATCACCCAGCTAAGTATTTATCATTGCTATCTACCAAATACCAGCAGTATCTGATTTGCAAGCTGATGAAAGATTCAGTCTTCTCCCCTAAGTGCCATACTCATGCTAAAAAGTCAAGCAGTAACAGCAGTGGATGCTTTGGCTCTCTAAATCTCAGTGGGATGTGCAAAACTGTTGATGCACACAGTTGCTTAAAGGTTTTAGGACAGCACAGATCAACCTTGTTCTCTGCTAAATTGATGCAAAGTTCTTTCGTGTGGGGAAAAAAAAAAAAGACCATAATCAAGGAAAAACCCTGGAACTATGGATGAGAAACACAGTCGCATACTTTGAAGTGTTAATGTTCCTAAAAGCAAAGTAAGGCTGTAAAAATAGTTTGTGATTCCTGATGCTCTCAGTCTCCAGGTCAATTGAACCCACTGCTGACATTTTCTCTTTGGCTTTTTTTTTTTTTCTCTGCTCAGCTAGATATAAGATGTGGAAGTGCCTTCCTAAAAGCCCCCATGTCCTCCCTCTTCCTTCCCCACCATGACGCTCAGTAGATATTCAGATATTGAAGGCTCCCCCTGTATTAAAAGAGCACGCTGCAATTAACAATCATTACAGCGTACCCTTTTGTAAAATACCATGTAGCTTTCACTGCCTGGGAAGCCTCCTGACATGCTCTTTGCAGAAGCTTTAGTTACATTCCCCATGGCTAATAAAACTCTTTTGTCTGCCTTCCCTTGAAATGGAAACAATACTTCGGGGAAACCCCGCGTGTGTGCTCTCTGGGCCGTTTCAGCACCAACAATTCGGATGATGTGGTAAAGGCATCTGGGACATCTGGCTCATTATGCTCGTGTTTTGACATCGAGCACGCTTGCACACTTTTAATGATGGCTGCACGCTAGCAAAAAGTGCCCCGAACTTTGCTGAATGGGAAACAGAGTTTTCTGTGGCAGAATAAAGTCCTCAGCCCTGCGGCGTCTCTCGCTGCCTTCTTGGTGGGCAAAAGAAGGGAGTCAAACTCCACGGTCCTTTTAGGGTTTGATGGCTCTGCTGAGCTCAGCAATTCAGCCACGGCAAGGTGATGGGGCTATTCATTTGCTGGACCCAGATTCGCTTGAGCAAAGCAAATTTACAAACAGCTTTAGCATGAGACGAGCTATTTAACCACCCAAATAAATCAAAGTTCACGCTGGTGGCACCAAGTACTCAGGATCATGAGTCTTCAGGCTTTAACACATTATTTGCTTCAGCATCACATTATTCCTACTCTGCAGCAGTTTGTGGAGGCCATAAGCAACATTAGCTGATGCTGTTAAGCCAAATAAAGAGGAAATTTATTTTCAAAGTTTGCTCTCAAGAAACCCCGGCTTTGGGGTGTCTCTGTATTATTGCCACTTGCTTATGACACAGCGAAAGCCTGAAGTCAAAACTTCTTACTCAGCAGAGAGCAGAACAAAGAAACTGGAAGAGCATTTTGGGTGAAAACAGACAAAGATAATAATTCACATGGTCAACAAAATGGACATTATTTGGGACGGGTTGATGGAGCGAAGGAGTTCGCCGAGAGAGGCAGATGATTGTGATAGATCACGGGGAGAAGAAAAGACAAGACGTGCTTACTGAAGCATATGAGACCCCCAGAAACCACACCAGTCAGCAAAAAAAAAAACCTGAAAAACACACTGCTTGCCCTTTATTAGCTTGTTGCTTTGCCCAAAGCTGCACACTAAGTGTAATAAATAACCAAACCAATCAATTACGATGTTTGAAATTAAGGCTATGGCCGAAGCCACCAGCTGCTTCTGTA